CATTTTGGTGAATCAAAAGAGCTCTAAGCTCAATACACCAAAACTTCGGCAGACCCAGGGAAATAAGAATCCCAGACTTGGATTGAGGGAACATCTATATGCAGGAAATCCATCTATTAGATTGCCAAAAAACACGGTTTCCAGTCGATTTTTCCATCCGAGCAATGGCTGCGATCTACCTAGCCCTAATGGCGGATTGCTCATATGATGGGGTAGGTTTAGCAGCCATTGCTCAGTAGATCTTGATAATAATATGGGAATGGATCAATACCTATACAAACAATTTTTGGGGGGATGAACATCCATTTACCAGCTATTTTGATGTTCACCAGGGGTACAAGGTTTTGACACACTGCCATATGATTGGATAGCAACAGATCCAGTATTAGGATGTACGGTTTACAGCGTTGTTTTTGTCTCAGGATCCGACACGCCCAGGAGTCCGGGTCTGATTTTTGAGCCCAGGGATTGGATGAATTTGGGGTTGACAATATGTGTATACTGTATATATACACATATATATAGAGATATAATATACATATATGTGTATATATTATACACATTATAACATATATATATATACTGTATATACATATGATATGTCTATATATATACATGATATAGTGTTTATGAATTTTGGTTTGACATTAGATGGTTGACACCCCCTGATCGTGAATGATGTTACAAATGGACTCTACAATCATGGCACACGGCGAACCTCCTGGACATCCGGGAATCATCCCGTTTTTATCCCCATCATCGCAACAACAAAGACCAGAAGAAACCCATAGAAAACCAAGCGAATCGTGGTCCTGGCTGAAATCCATATAATCCATGGGCTGTAGCCCCCGAGAGCAAGTTGGATAAACATCAAAAAAAACCGAGAGCTTTAAAAGTGGGGTCAAACCCTTGGATTTTATCGAGGATTGATGGATTTGACCCCAGATGAATGGTGCAAAGGGGCCCAACCCGAAATCCAAGGGGCCCCCCCCTGGTGGCCCTAAGCACGCTTAGGGCCACCATGAGCAAAGGGTGAACCCTGACATCAAACCAAGGTGGAGATGCACCACAATTGAGTCCTGCAGACTCCCCGGAGAAGCAAGAGGCGAACCAAGGGGGTACACTGGGAGAAAGCTACAGAGATGGAAAACGAATGGGGCACCTCCATCTTCATGGTGGATTTTCCATGCACTGTCGGGTATATGGATATATGTAAAGATATATCTATACAACTTTTCTTGAATGAAAACCTATGTAAGGTTTGTTTCTGTAGACTCACGCGGCAGGCTACCTTCAGATTTGGGAACCAAATGCATCCAAGCTGGCAACTCGTAGCGTCTGATTCCAAGCCAGGTTTGTTGACTGTGAAAGGAACCAATGAAACACCCGAATGAAATTCAAAGAAGGAAACCATTATGAGTGACACCCTCCAGAAAAAACGAAAAACATACCCAGAAAAAGCGAACACGGAACATGATAAAAAAAAGCGGGGGTTTCCATATCTATTTCAATTGACAAGTATGAAAACTTCATAAGACCCCATCAATTCCTAGTCATTTTTTAGCATCCCGTCCGGTCCCGCAGGCACGTTCCCCTGAGCACCGCAGTGGTTCAACGACCCTGCAATCCACCAGCGTTTTAACAGCTTCCAAGGTCACAGGGGCGGTGGTACAATGTTTCCAAGCATCAAACGGAATCTATTCAGCAACAAACAATGCATTCTAAATGGGATTTTCATTGATTTTCCAGATTTCGATACGTTTCTTTTTTTAATGAGAAATCTTGAAAATCAATGAGAAATCAATTAGATGCGTTTCTAATTAGATGATTTTGAGATTTTGAGGACAGACATGGGGTTTGACTCAACAAATTGGTCCCATTAGATCCAGGATTTCACGAACATATCGATTTTGGGTATCAACTGGGGATTCAGTCAGGGTAGAGTCAATAGCCCAGAGAGGTACCTCAAAATGGAGGTAGTGCGACTGAATTTTAGGTCTTGGATCTTTTAGATCTTGAATTTCTTTAGATCTTAGATAAGTTGTCATCATTTAATGTTGGTAAAACAATAATAAACCACCCCCAAATTCACCATTTTTTGTTGGGTGGGAGTCCAACCATTCCCAGTCATGGGCTGATGGGTCATCCCACCTCGGACCTCGGACTGCAGGTCATTGGCCAAAAATGCAAAAACAATTGCATATGAATATTCTATCATGAAATGGGTCAATACCTATAGATACATTTTTAGTGGGATGAACATCCATTTACCAGCTATTTTGATGTTCACCAGGGGTATAAGGTTTTGGCACAATGCCAAATGCCAAGAAATCACGGTTTTTTGGCTTCAAAAAATCTCACCATTGGTCGGTGCACCGATCGCCAGTCCCTGCGCGGATCTGCCAACAGCCGCCCGCAGCTGCGCAACGGCGGAACCGGAACCAGGCACTGCCCCTATAGGGGCCGACACGGGGGTGGAAAGAAGGAGACACGAGAAGTGTCAAAAACCCGTGGTGAATGAGTTGTTTAATGTTGACTTGCCTATCATTTGAAACATGTTGAGGGATTATTTTGACCATCAACGGTGATATAATTGATACATATTATCATATTAATACGTGATATATTACATGCAGTTTCATAAACCCAGGTCTATGGTGTTTTATTGGCGGACTATGCTCCCAGTATTTTTGTGGATGTGTCAGTTTGTATGATTGAAATATATTGAAATCCCCAGAAACTCTCCAGTTGGTTCATGATTCTCCTCCATTTTTCATGAGAATATCCCGATACCTTGGCAGGAAACGAGGTTGGGAAGATTGATTTCCACCTCAAGAATGAGCTAAAAATTTCAAGGTCTATGTTAGTGGAAATCAGAGGGAAGCATCCATGAAAACCAATTCACCATTATGGGAACAATCCAATTAACATTAACATCAATCATTATCCAACTAACCCAATAAACCTGTTTTTTTAAAGCAAAAACATCAATCATTAATCAGTAACAATCCAATATATTTGGGCTGATCTTGATTTAATGGTTGTTAACTTCCCATCAAAAATTGGCACCCCCAACAGCCCAACAGCCCACTGAAGCCTCAGGACCCGCAGCCCTTCGGCCACGAGTTTCAAGGGTGGCCCGGCTGGTGGCCCAACATCGCCTGCCGTGGCTCCCACGCCTACCAGGAGAAAAATGCTGGGATGGACAGTGGATGGGTGGATCGAAAGGTGATCTGTGATGGATTCAACCCAAATTTTGGGCGAAATCCCAATTTTTTGGTCTGAACTTCATGCACTTCGACTTGCAGGCTCTTCCAAAGCCGCGACGCGGCCTCTGGCCTCGCTGCAGCCGGGCGGCCGGGGGCTTAGATGAAGTGGCATAGATTTCCATGATTTACCTATTAAAAATGGATAGGAATGGTGAAAACATCCGGTTCAAAGGCGTCAAATTAACATAGACTTCCCCTCCGGTGTCATCACATTTATAAATCAAACCCCTCAAGGCCCGTGCAAACCTCGACTTCTCCACGCACCACGGGAACGGCTCGGATGCCGAACCGGCTGCAGGTTGATCCATCCATCAGTGATCCATCCTGCAGGAATCCCTAAAAGGTGGTGCCCCAGTTCGTTAGCTAAGTTGATGCAAATAAGTCCAATAACTGTTGGGTTGATTTTTATGGGGATACATATCTGACATGATCTATATTAAACTAGTTTTCATGGGGATTATAGACCAACACACATTTTGCCTTTGGGGGTACCACCTTGTATGAACCACCAGGATTAAATGGAATGAGGGTTTTGGAACACTGATCATCTGCGGCACACATATTAACGTCTATAATAAACGGTTGCGTTCCAGGGAGACTTGGTGAGATGATGTTTAGCTGTAAATAATCGAAAGATACTCTCTGGTAAACTAACATAGCTATTGAAAATGACCATTGAAATAGTGGATTTACCCATTAAAAATGGTGGATCTTTCCATAGTTACGTTAGTTTACCAGAGGGTAGAAAGACACCGGCTTCCTTCAGATTTTATCAATTCAATCCAGTTCCATGAAACCAAAAGCGATGGAGTTTGCATTCGAAGTTTGGCACGGATCAACACAGCTACGCCCATGGTACCAGTTGCATCAACCGAAAATCTGGTAGCAATCCCAGTCCCCATAAACGAAACACCTGGACACCTGGGAATGATTTTTGGCCCACCTCTCACCATTTCTCACCTATTTCACAGTGCAAAACTTCTCTGAATCTTTTTTTGGGGCAACCACAAACATGACGAATGTCTGCGTAGTATTCCCATATAGATGACCTTCTCATCTGGTTGGTGGTTTGGAACATGGCTTTTATTTTTCCATACATTGGGAATGTCAGCATCCCAACTGAAACTTCGTCATATTTTTCAGAGGGGTAGGGCTCAACCACCAAGCAGTCATTGAAATGATCATTTCAATAGCCATTGGATGAGTTTCCCATGAAGAAATCGCCGGTTGGGGAACCCCCCAGGCCCACTCTCCGAAGCGCAAGATCACTCAATCCCTGGTGGTACAAGTTCGGCCCAGGCATTGAACCAAAAAAACGTCTGTTTCTGTCGATGTTTCCCGAGAAATCCGTTGCTAGCAGTTGATGGTCTATCTGGTCATGGGGCAAAACCCTGGTACCTAGTGAACCCCAAAATAGCTGGTAAATGGATGTTCATCCCATTAAAATGGTATTAATAGGTATTGATCCATACCCATCTATGAAAGAAAAGGTTGGGTATTTGAAGAAAAGTGGATCTTGTTTGACTCAGAGTTGGCAGATGAGCTATCTCCATTCTTTTCGACCAATGCAGTCAGACAACCTCAACTTCAAAATCAGCTCATGGATGAAACCTCCCATCACGCATCTCCAAAGTGCTTCTCGCACCACTTTTCCACTTCCAGCAAGAATTTAAGCGTTGATATGTTCATATCCGTTGTTTTCCAACGAATTTTGCTTCAGCAATCGGAGCCATGCCTCAGTTGCCTCAGTTCTTTCGGATCTTTGGTGGGTTTCAGACTCCGAAAGCTGTGGGACCCCCGAAACATGCGGTGCCAGGTCCGGAAGTTTCACGTCCTCCGGTGCCCCGGGACACCTCACGGCAGGCGCCGGTGAAGCACCCCAGGGTGGTGGGGATTTCAGGATCACTATGGGGATATGAGAACTGGGAATCCAGAAATGTATGCACTAAATTCACAATTTGGGGATGGAACGTTACGCACCCATGTGCTGTATATATCTGTATGTATAATTATGTATATATATATATTTATATCATATATCACATATTATGAATCATATATGGGATAACTTCAATGTGTGGAAGCCAGTTACTAAGTGAGTATAGAATTTCACCAGAGACTCACCCAGGGACAAGGGCGGCTCGATCAGTCGAGATGACCATGGCTGAAACATTGGATGCAGCTTTTCCCAATTTCCAGAGACCCCAAAGACATGAAGATATCCAATAGCAAATCAGGATTTCTTGTTGGGGCATGATTGTTGTGAAGGGATGAAGCCTTGGCTTGACACAGCCACACTGAAAGTGGAAGTGGAGGAAAATGGACAGAGTCTTATTTTTCGCAGAACAGGAGGAATTTGGAACTCAATTGGTGCCCTCAAATAAGCTGGTTACCCCTCAATCTTTAAGGCTGCCTGAGAAAGAAATCGGACATGTCTCCAAATCCTTTCTTCCTGGTAGTTTCGCATTTGGAGGAATCAACACCCATTTTTGGACATACCCAAATCAAGTTGTTGGTTATCTATCCCACCTATATCCCACCTATATATCCTCGCTCTGGCTCGTTCTAATTCCCCATTGTCAGACAGCCCAACAATTGATTGGTAATATCCTCATCTATCGCCATAATTACTGGTTAATATATGTTAATATCACGATTATTGGTTATTATCGTTCCACATCACCTTAAACTGCAGGAACTTACAATATTATACAATATTTCCATAAGGTCGGGGGTGGTCATCATTCTATTAAGAGAGGTTCACATTACATTATTTTTGGAATCCTGAATGATGATGGGGTGATCACATCATATATATATATTTAATATATATATATGTATATGTATACAGCATCTTTTGACCCTGGCACAGTCGGGTTTGTCCATGATTCATGGGCTAAATCCCCATTGTTCATGGACATCACTGACATCACCATATTTTGTTTGGTCAAGACCATGACTGAGGAATTTACCTTGTTGTGGTTTCACATCCTTTTTATTTTACCACAGAATGATTGGTTCCTCCTTTTTTCATGGTGTCATATCACTTCGAATCCCTTCTGCCGAGGTGTAAATGGGTTTGTCGTAAAATGGGCTACATCAAAATCCAAAACAAATCCTTCACTTCATCATCATTTTCCCATTCAAGCGGCAATTTCCCAGCGTCTATAATAACCATTTTCAGACACCCAAAGTTGCAGCAGCCCGCCATCGCTTTCCGCAGGGAGCATCACATCGCCGGGACGCAGTAAGGCAACGGTCAGGTGACACCTGCGCTTTCATTTTTGGGAGATGTGGAGAAAATCTTACCCTCTGGTAAACGTTTACATAACTATAGAAAACCACCATTTTTTATGGGTAAATCAACTATAAATGGCCATTTTCAATGGCTATGTTAGTTTACCAGAGGGTAAAAACCAGATACTATCTTTCTTCTTGTATCAAGGATTTAAGTATCATGTATTATCATGTATTTTGGGATCAATTTCTGATCATACTTGAAACACGAACATGGGTACGAAGTATGGGAAGTATGATCAGTATTGTATGATGAAGTCATTAAGTATTTTATTTTTTGAATCCACTTGCTATCTTTATTCTTGTTTGGGTTGCCAACGACCCCGCCAAAAAACCACCCGCAGATTGGCCAGGCAGACTTCGGCGGGAGCTGCAGAGCGCAAACGCAGCCAGGGCCTCAGATAATGTAGGGGTTTGTCAGAAATGGTTGGGTACCCCCAACAATTGAAATTGGTTTATATTTTAATATCATCATTTTCTGAAAAGTGACAAAAAAAATAGGCTTTTTCCCAAAAATTCATGGTTTATCATTTTTGTTTACCATGGATTTTCCGAAAAAAATGCCAACAATCGAAGGTGGTCTTGGCGGTCTTGGTGGCCCATCATCGCCGCCGGCTCCACTTCCACGGATCGAGGCGATTTTATATGGGGGATTTTCATGGGTGATTTCCACCGGAAAAATGGTGATTTGATGGGAATTCTATGGCGATTTTCAAGGATTTCACAGGGATGTTTTCTTTTGTTATTCTGATTTTATGGTGATTTTGTATTTTTTGTTCCTGGATTCATTTTCTTTGGATATCATAGGGATGTAATGTTACTAAAATTTTAGCTAACCAGACATACCGGGTATTTTAATGGTTTCCCATTGGTGGTAAAATTGAGGATGGTTTGCGATTGCTTTACTAACATTAATGGGAATATACTTGGCGAATTGATGGGAATACAGTGGATTTAATAGAATATAGTTGTGTATAATGGGGATTTCATGGGGGTTGATATTTGAATGTTGTATATTTTTAAATTGAGGTTGATACTTGGTGGCAAACTAGGAAAAAACTATAAGTAGCCCAGTTCACCCTAGTTAGTTCAGTAGGCGAGGAGGGGTGCTCGTCCACTTATAACTGTGGTGAACTAACCCACTGATGATTCCTGGGTAGTTCGCCACCGAATAGGGCTAAGTATTGACAATCAGGATTTATTCAGTGGCAATTCCAGGAACCCAAATTGGAGGTACCTACCATATATAAGGCCTATTTTTCAGCTATGTAAGGGGATATACTCAGCAATAGGTGGATTAGTTCACCCCAAGTGTCAACTTCCATGATATCCCCATGACCCTTCGGTTCATCAAACACGGCAATGGAGAATCTCCTAAAAAAAAACATTTGTAGTGTGTGTGTATGTTTGTGTGTATAATGTGTATAGTATATACACATGTATATGTACACTGTACACTGTATGTATGTAATGAAACTCGAGCTAAACCCTAAACAAACCCAAACAAACGCTGAACAAACCCTAAAGAGTTGGTAACATGATAAACCTCTGGGCGGCACCCGCGTCCTGGGGGTATTTGTATGTATATATATATATATATGTCTAGGTATCCCCCCTGTGAATGCGGTGGGGTGTGGGGTGGTGGTCACCCCCCATACCATACAAGGGGGGGGCGTGAACACGACACGGGATCATATATCTATCCAATCAATCTAATCCAATCTAATCCAATCTAATCCAATCCAATCGAATCTATATAATCGAATCTAGTCTAATCTAGTCTAATCTAGTCAATCAATCAATCAATCAATCTATCTATCTATCTATCCATCTATCTACCTATCTATCTATCGATGTATCCATCGATCGATCTATTTGTCTATCGATCTATCGATCTATCATTTGTCTATCGATCTATCGATCTATCGATCTATCGATCTATCTCTCTGTCTATCTCTCCATCGATCTATCTCTCCATCTATCTGTCTATCTGTCTATCTATCTATCTATCTGTCTATCTATCTATCTATCTGTCTATCAATCTATCTAATCTATCTAATCTATCTAATCTATCCAATCTATCTAATCTATCTAATCTATCTAATCTATCTAATCTATCTAAGCTATCTAATCTATCTATCTATCTACCTACCTATCTACCTACCTATCTATCTATCTGTCTATCTATCTATCCATCCATCCATCCATCTATCCATCTATCCATCTATCCATCTATCCATCTATCCATTTATCCATCTATCCATCTATCCATCTATCCATCTATCGATCTATCGATCTATCGATCTATCCATCCATCTATCTATCTATCGATCTATCGATCTATCCATCTATATAATACCCTCAAGATCGAGGTGTCTAGAATCTCCCCCCTGGAGGTGGCATTGACGGCTATGATTTTAGAACCCTGAAAGGCTATCAAATTAGAACCCTGAAAGTTTGGATATATGAGCCTTGTTGTGGTATAAATTGATTCCAACAGACCACAAGAAAAGGTCATTGATTTGGAGTGCAGAAAACGGAACCAAGTCGTGATGAGGTATCTGCACAAAGGTGCAAAACATGTTTGGAATTAGCATCCCTGGTTTTGGTCGATCAAGATTTCCATTTTCAAAACCAGGTGATTTCAACGTCGCTTGGTTTGAAGTTTCTGAAAAAAGAAGGTAAAAAGGTGTTGAGCAGCTGCAGCAATGTGTAATGATAAACAACGTATTGATTTATATCCGGCAGCATCCGCAATTGAAACAACACGAGCCTCACCATTACCTCCAACCTCCGACACAATGCCAATTTTGTTTGGAAAGTACAAATGCCAGCTCAAGTTGTGATGAGCAACCTGCAGTGATGCGCATCCTTGTTCCCACCCAACGCCTCCATTCTTTAGATAGCAACACTTTGGTTCAACCAAGCCGGTTGGAAAAAAAGACGCGGGTCTATCGTCATCATCCCCAGGTCAATGCGTGCCAAGTGCTTTTTGGGCCCAAAGGCAACCATTCTAGACCCCCAGGTGGTGACTGATGGCCAGCTATTACCCAACTTAGCCGCTTAGCCATCCTTCGGCATCCCTTCTGCATTCTACATCCTTCTGCGCATTCTTTAGATACCAGCACTTTTGGTTCAACCAAACCGCTTGGAAAGAAGGACGCGGGTCTATAGTCATCTCCCAGGTCAATGCGTGTCAAAACGTTTTTGGAGCTTGAAGTCAACTTGAAGGCAGCCATTCTAGACCCAAGTGCTGACTGATGGCCAGCTGTAACCCAAACGTAGCCATTTTGTCACATCGCTTCTGCATTCTACATCGATCTGCAACACATTTGATAGAGAACTTTCGGAGAACAAAGAAGGGGGAGAGACTGATGACCCAGGAAGTTTTGAGACTGTTCATGGGCAAGGCAATCTTTCCTTCAACGCGATAGTCTTGCCAGACTGTATGCGGTAAGATATGTTTTAGAAGGAAGGTGATTTCAAAAGATGACTGGACGACGCAGTCTTTGTGGGGGGAAAGAGGGTCAAAAGGTTGCAATCGACTTTGCTTTTAAAAGATGTGCTGCTTATATTTTCCGGAAAAGGTGGCCCTCATGCAGCCTTAACAAAACCCTTCAAAAACAGAAAAATCCAACACATTATGATGACCTGAACCGCGCAATGCGCACGGGAGGACAAAAAACTGTGTGCAAATGAAATGCAAAATTTTGCTTTAACTAATAACAAGGAGATTCCCCCCAAAAACGTGTCAATTTTTCATGTTTTTATGGTTTGCAGGAATACGATTTTAGAACCCCATCATGCGTACACTTTGGGGTTCTATTCTGCTCTCCGTTGAGAGATGTCAAAGGCCTTGTTTTTTTTTTTGAAAGGAGACCATTCTAGAACCCAGATTTGGGTTTAATTTGAAGGACAAGGGGGTTTGTTTGATCTTGAGGGTATTCTATACATCGATCTATCGATCTATCTGTGTATCGATCTCCATCGATCGATCTATCCATCGATCGATCGATCTATCTATCTACCTACATATCCCCGGAAAATCCCACAAAAATTCCCATGACCTCCGGAGCAGCGGAGGAAGAATATCCGCTGGGCGACTGCGATCCGGACACCTCGGACGGCTCTTCGGGGCCGAAGCGCAAGGTGACGGTGACCTCCTTCGATGAAACGAACGTGGTGATGTGTGGCTTGACCGTGAAGGTAGTACCCCCTGGCGTCAAACATGGGAAGTCTCCCAAATATGGGAAATTTTTGAAAATTGGAGGGCTATTATGGGATCATCAAGATCTTGGATCAAGGGCTCTGCGAGAGATTTCATGGGAGAATTTGAATGAATTCAGATGAATTTAGCAACTTGAAATGGATCAAAAACTATGTGATATCATGGGATATCATGGGTAGATAATGGTTGATTTGCGGGTTTGTTTTTTGGGACTTAGACCAAAGAGATGTCCATTTAACGGAGCAAAACTATGTGGCAACTTTCTAATTGGAAGGTGAAACTCCAGATCAAAGATTCAACCATGGATGCTTTGGGAAACTTTGGAATACGCGCTGCCAGATTCAACTACCAGAGGGTACTTTTCGATTTTTCCATAGGATGTTACAACAAGAAATCTGGTGGACTTGCTTGGAGGATTGTGGAAATCTCGCAAGTGCTTGCAAGCTGTAAAGTCTAGCCCGCTGCAGAGAATTGCCAAACTACTACTTTCAAATGCTCCCCACCCAAGATGTGCCAACAAAAAATTGAATGGCGATGACATCCACTTCCTCAGCTGGTCGCCTTTCCAGGCTACAGTGATCCAGAGGACAGCACCAGGTCCGCGCACCCAGTGGATCTGCGACATATCCTCCAGCCGATCTTATTCCTGTTAGTTTGCATATGGTCATTGCATCTTATAGAATCACACATGTAATCACACACACACACATATATAATATGAACTATATATATATGGTATGAATTATATGTATGTATATATATACGTATATATGGTACACTGTATGTATTCATAGATCACATGTATTTGCAGATACATATTACATGTGTAGACACGGACAAACATCCGTTTTTGGTTACAAGAACTGCCACTGACGAGTGCCCAGTTTCCGGTCTGTGGCCCAAGCACATTGGCATGGTCGGAGAGAAATCGTACGGGTCGAGCCTTGCGTTATCCCATGGAAGTGCCTCGGATCATACGCTTCATGGCGACCCTGGCCATGGTGACATCCATAGGGAAAATCATCTACAAATGGTGGTTGTTTATTATATATCTATTGTAGATGATTTTCCCTCTGGATGGATATATCTAGTATATATCTATTATATAAACGGTGTATCTATTTGCATATGATAATTTACTGGATGGATCTGGATGGGAATGTAATTAGTTCGCCCAGTTGTCCCAAACTTCTGCTTTGCGGATCTTGATGGTTTCAATCTTTGGTGTCCATTACACGACTTGGATTGATGATCTGCCATTTTTCCTCATATTTTTCTTCAACCACCCATGTTGCAAAATCCATCAAAATCCCTATTGTGTTAAAAATTCTGGATGAAATCACGATTTTCATCGTAAGTTCCTTATGTTTGTTTCATAAGTCGACTCTTCCTCTGTTGTTTCGCAGCGATTTTTCGGGCACCCGGCAACCGCGACTGAGGATTTGGGTCTCGCAACGACTTTGATCCTCAAACTCACGCGAAAGCTCAGTGGCTGGGCACAGAGCTCGTGAACTGGAACTTGGGCCCATACGTCAGCATAGTTGGCATAATTTGTCGGAACCGTTATATACAACGCTTGTTATAATATAAACAGTAATTAAATTAAAGACAGATAATCTGAACAGTATAGATCACCGAGAATAAACAATCAATTTGAGGTATATGTTTTCATAGACCCTCACTTTACCCATAGAGAATTGTTACGCCATCATTTGAAGATACTTTCACCAGTTTTTTAGACACGTTCTTATAGGTCAACTGAGGGTCTAGAGTAGATTTCTATGCATATTGATAAATGATATATATATATATGTATACAGGGTACATATACATACCTACATAAATATATATATATATACATACTATCCAACTATTTTTTGTTTAGGATAAGTATGAACATGACAGAACATAACATAACACTATGTTCAACAAACATATACATGAGTACACATACAAAATCGTACATCAAACCATCCCGAAAGATGCAGAGTATATACAGCCAACATAGTGCTGCTAGGATGGTGTTCCCCATCCATCCATCCATCCATCCATCCAGCTGAATGATTTTGGTTCAGACACATATACATTTGTCATCCATTTTCAACAAACAAAACTATATATATATAGAATCATCCTGAAGTAGATAGAATATGGGATTTTCAACCATCTTAAAAAAATAGGGGTTCATTTCCATATTCTACTCCCCGTATTGATCAGTCAACTAATCCCTTCCTGTTCATATCACTCATATTCCCATGATATTCCCATTGATGGTCAACAGTCAATCCCCTATTTTTTACCATAGTTTCTTATTGGATGGGGGTAGTGTTAACTTCGCCAGCTAGCTAGCTGTTCCAATGAGAATCAATAACTAGATCATCATTCCTGAAATAAATCACCATAGGGACAGTATATTCCCATTCTATATCCATTTCAATTTTTATAAATCATCCATCATCCCAATTCAGATTCACATTCGATCGGCCAAAACAAGGGCGCAGCCTCCCTGTGCCGGGTTCCGCTGGCGCCGAGGCTATGAGGAATTGCTCACAGCTTTGAGGGGCCTGTGTCTGAATGCCGTCCCTGAGCTGGGCCCGGCCGCCTTCGACTTTGCACACCTTCCATGGACTTTTGGGCGGAAGAATGGGGGACAAATGCGAAGACTGTGAAGAAGATGGGGAAAACAGCGAACGCTCCACGTTTTTTGTGGTGGCCCAACATGTGAAGATCATGGACAACCAGCTAGTTGATGAATTTCGCCATGATTTGATAGCAGGATATGGCAGGTTGGGGCGAAATCCATGGGTTTAGACACCACAGCAGGTTTTCCACCAGAAAGAAATGAGTAAACACCCTGAGGTTCAAGGTCGTACTCCATAGGAATTCTGCAGACAGGGACTCTCATACTATATTCAGATATTATATGATATTATCATATCTATATTCTATATTATATACATATATTCATGGTTTTGTTTTGGTATTTAGGAGGGCTCCACATATCTTTTTTGCCGGCCAGGCAAGGAACAGTTAGCTCCTTGATGCCAGTGTTGAAACTACCGATTCTTTTCGTGTCTGGAGGAATGGACCATCGAACACTTTTGGCACATAATGGTATATAATTATTTTAATTACAGTATCTTACAGTGAAAATAATGGCATATAATTACATTATTGTACCATTATATACCGCAATACCATTATTGGGTAGAAATATCATGGACCACGGTATCCTGTGGCGAATGATATGACCTTTTTGGATCTGGGATGGGTCTTGAAATTTGACCCGGTCTTCCCGGTTTTGTTGGGGGTGAACCAAACATGTCCCGTAGGTATTCTTATGGGCCAAATACGCTCAAATCATCATTGCGAGCATGTTTATAGTCTATTATAGTCTATTATAGTCT